CTGGTTCCTGCGACTAGCCAATCAGGTCACAGGTGTCCTGCTGTTTTTATGAATCATTACAGTCCATTTCTTCAGTGCATCCTCGGACCAGTGCTTGGGTAAGTTCTTAAATCCTAAACTTATTTTGGTAACACTTTATTTTAAGTGTTTCTACATGTACTTACTATAGTAATAACAGTATTATGCACAATTACAACTTACCCTAACACTGTAAAAAAAAATATTGATGGTTTAACTTAAAAAAGTAAGTAACCTGGTTGCCTTAAAATTTTAAGTTCATTGAACTGGAAAAAGTGAGTTAATACAATGAAGGAGATTAATTTAACCATCAGAAACTCAAAATTATATGCTATCTGAACTAAATAAATTATTTTAGTTGATTTGACAAAAGAAAAAATGTTGTGATTACTACACTGTAAAAAAATATTGTTGGATTAACTTAAAAAAGTAAGTAACCTGGGTTGCCTTAAAATTTTAAGTTGATTGAACTGGAAAAGTGAGTTAATACAATGAAGGAGATTAATTTAACCATCAGAAACTCAAAATAATAAGTTATCTCAACTGAATAAATTATTATAAAGTTGATTTGACAAAAGAAAATATGTTGTGATAACAAATCTTTGAAAATATTTTTTACAGTTAGTACATTAATATTACTCGGTGCTTATTTAAGTACAACTTAACAATGTCAACTTAAAATAAAGTGTAACACTTATTATTTTTTTATTTTTTTTAAAGTGTCGGGAGCATCCCAGAATCAAATCTCAGTTTCAAAATTCAACTGTTTTTGTATTCCTATGATGCTTAAAATTTAAATTTTTGAATGTAAACAAAAGGGTCTTGTTTTTCAAAATTCAACAGTTTTTACATTCCAACTATGATGCTTAGAATTTAAATTAAATGTTTTGGAATCTAAACTTTTTAAACAACACACACATCATAGGAGTGATGTCAGTTAACCCCTAAACTTGTTCCGGCTTGTGCGGTGTTGAGCGAGATGGAATGTGAAAACACACTTTAGTGTCTTTTCTTCTTAAACCATGAGTGGAATCTATACATCCACCATCATCATAAATATGTGTTTGACTGGTGTTGTCATGTCCATGACAGATGGTCACCAGAGTGCAGATTTAATTTAAAGGCGGTCTTCTCCTCAGTAATGTCTGACAGCTGAAACTGCCCCATTGAGAAACCCTCGGGGCACATGAGAGCCCATGCCCCCCCGACCCCGAGATAGTTTCACACAGATCTGCTCTAGCTTGTCCTGTTGCATTTGTGAATGTGATTTGTATTTAATGTCCGTGATTAAATTTACACCTTTTTTGATTAAGACGGGATTAAACAGACCATTTTGACGAGATTATCTTGTCTGGTGATCTCTTTGTAAACTGCTTCTTTAAACAGGCTCTTTCTCTTGTCAGCATGTAAAAAGGTCCCGAGAACACAACAAACAGGATTTTTCACATTATTTGTTGGCTAAAGGCCATTATAGATAGAATTGCCTGATTTTCCACTAAGGTTGCAAATCTCTTTTATTTCATGTTTAACAGGCATCATGAAGGTCGCTTCGTTCAACGTCCAGAGATTTGGGAAATCAAAACTGTCTGATCCGGCCGTGCTGGAAACCCTGATCAAGGCAGTGTGATTTTACTATCAATCATTGGATTTAAATGACAGATGCTTTAGTTTTAGTTGACGGTAATAACCATGATCAACATGACGCCCATCCACACCTACAGAAAATACAGTCACATCCCATTTGACAGTGAACTCCCTCTTGGATGAGGCTATAACATGTTCTTAATCTTAAAGTCTGATAATCCTTCAAGAGAGGAGTAGCTTGTATGAAATGATGACTTGTATTTCTGCAGATTGTGTCACGCTATGACATCATCGTCATTCTTGAAGTGGTGGATTCTAGCGGAGCTGCAGTGGATCGTTTTCTCAAAGAGCTGAATAAGTGAGTCAAACAGGTGTGTGTTTTAATGAGGACAAAAACACATAATTAGATGACTGTCTTCTCTTTAACAGGTCCAACAAGAGAGATCCTTACAAGATGGAGATCAGCACACGCCTGGGAAGAGGGAATTACAAAGAACAGTTCATGTTCCTTTACAGGTAACGGTGTTGAAGTTACAATAGAGCATTAGTCAGGAAAACGCCTGAAAACAAACACAGAATGTTCCCCAAACATTCCCATCTTGTTCATGTCGAGGCCACAGAATAAAAATATCAAAAAGGTAATTGCGCCATAATTTTATCTCACAATTCAGACTTTTTTTATCGATGATATAAAGTCGCTTATTCTGAGAAAAAGTCTTTTTTTTCTCTCAGAATTGGACTTTATAACTCACAATTGTGATTTTATTCTAACTTTAAAACTTACCGTGCAATTCTGAGAAATGAGATGTTAACTCGTAATTGTGAGATAAAAAGCCGTATGTGTCTTTTAAAATGTTTTATGAACTCAGGGAGTTTATTTTGTGAAGTTGGAAAGGGAAAGTATACAGAACATTCCCTATTGGTCTTTTGTAGGTATTTCTATAACCAAAAACTACGATTCACAGAAAGTTCTTGGTTTTCGATATATATGGTCCTTATGGAAGATAATTATAATATTTGCGACTTTATAACATAATTGCGACATATTTTATAATTGCGACATATTTGTTCAGAATTGTGAGATATAAAGTTGCAATTGCAAGTTATCAGGCCAATTCTAAGGGGAAAAAAAACTTTCCCCCCTCAAAATAGTTTATATCTCACAATTCTGACTTTATATCATGCAATTCTGATTTTTGTAACCTGCAATTGCAATTTTATATCAATCAATTCTGACTTTTATACTGTTTAATTGTTTACAGATTATACAAATAGAAATACCCCACTTAACTACATGATCTGTTTTAAATATAAAGGATCAGCATGGTGGATTTGGTTGGGTCTTGCCAATACGATGACAAACAGCCTGGAGATGAAGATGCTTTTGCCAGAGAACCTTACGTTCTGCGATTCAAGTGTCATAAAACAGGTAAAGTACAACATATTATCTCAGTGTATGTGTGTGAATCATATTTTTTTTTTATATTGTGTAATCTCTTAAAGGGATAGTTCACTTTGAAATTAATTTTTGATATGTTTTAGCTTACCTCAAGGGCATCCAAGATATAACATATTAAAAATATATAGCTAAAATATAACGTATCCCTTTAAATCCCATTTGACAATCCAAACAGCTTAAACTGAAATGTCACAGGCTGAATTGCATTAATCCCATGTTTTAATGAGGATACAAATGATTATAATTGCTGTGCTCGTGTCTCGGCAGTATTGAAGGATTTGGTGCTGATCCCCGTCCACACAAAGCCTGAGGATTCAGTGAAGGAACTCGATGAACTGTACGACGTGGTTCAGTTTGTCAAGACGAAGTGGGAGACTGATGTATAACAATGCACACTATAAAACCTTTATGACAATCAACCATTGGCTGATCCATTAGAGACTCAATATACTATATGTGACCCCGGATCACAAAAATAAATGCGCACGGGAATATATTTATGGCACAACAATAGATAAAATATTTCGGTTTTAAGTAAAGATCATGTTCTATGAAGATATTTAGTAAATTTCCTAGCGTAAATACATAAAACTTTTATTTTTGTGAGTGGATACACCACAATTGCGCAAATATACACTATTTTAAAGGCGATTTCTCAGTTTCCTTCAGATTTTTAAAGTTATATTTCGCCAAATATTGTCCTCCTATCCAAACAAACCACACACAAATGGAAAGATTATTTATTCAATTTACAAAATTGACCCAAGGTATTTCGTAAATTTCCCAGCGTAAATGCATAAAACTTTTATTTTTGTGAGTGGATACACCAAGATTGCGCAAATATACACTATTTTAAAGGCGATTTCTCAAAGTTTCCTTCAGATTTTTAAAGTTATATTTCGCCAAATGTTGTTCTATCCAAACAAACCACACACAAATGGAAAGATTATTTATTCAATTTACAAAATTGACCCAAGTGACTGCTTTTGTGATCCAAGCTCACATATTTTAGGCAATGAAAAGCCATGCATTTTTGATCGTAAATGCTTACAACATAATACAAATATATATTTCAAACATATGCTTATCTTTTACAGAACATCATGATTTTGGGGGACTTCAATGCAGACGGTAGTTATGTGTCTGATAAAGAGATGAAAACAATCCGCATCCGCAGTGAAAAAGGCTTCCATTGGCTGATCAAGGATGACGTGGACACCACAGCCAGCACACGCAACGACAACACTTACGACCGGTGAATAATCACACCGCACAATAGACATAAAGTAGGATTATATCATTGTTATTAATAACACATGTTCACAGGATTGTGGTTTATGGAGACGACATGCTGAACGCTGTTGTGGCAAATTCTGCAAAACCATTCAACTTCCAGACGGCCTTCAAACTGAAAGATGAGGACGTAAATAATAATTTTTATTTTTTATACTTACACCACAGCTTATCTAATCATACTTACCATCAAACATGACTTAACGTATTAACTAACCATAAGAAATACATTTATTACTGTATTTGTTAATCTTTGTTAACAATAGTTAATACAAATTAGTTAATATTAATTAGTTAGTTCACATTGCATTAACTAATGTTAACAAGATTTTAATAAAGTATTAGTAAATGTTGAAATTAACATTAACAAATGCTTAAATATTGTTAATTGTTAGTTAATGTTAACTAATGTACCTTATTGTAAAGTGTTACTGAGATTTCTTTTATTAGTATGTTCCTAAAACATATTTAATCACACTTAACAAAGACACGAGTTATTACTGTGCATTTAAATACAATTTTTTTGATTTAGGACTGGTTTATTAGTAAGTTCCTAAAACAGATTGAATGTCTTCACAGGCACTAAAAGTGAGTGACCACTATCCAGTAGAGGTGGAACTGAAGAATAAACGTAAGACACACTATACATCAGCAAAATAACTAAAACTTATATAACGAAAAGAAACAATAACAAAAGACGTGTGTGTTCAGGTTAATCAAAGAGGATTGAACATTTGGAGACATGAAAAGTGTGACCAGAGAGCTGAATATACAGATGGATAGGCTTGAACAAACAGTTGTTTACATGAGAATTTACACTTGAAATGTTTGGATATTATAGAACTGTGTTGTCGTGAGCTTTGCGAATTCAGACATTAAACATCTGAAATTGAAATATAAAGTGCCAACAAAAAAATGATTTGATGTTGCCATTGTTGACCCAAATCATAAGTTGGTGTTTTGAACAGTAAATCACATTCATTTCTTCCCAGACTTCTTGATTTCTTCTCAACCTATGGAAAGAAAACAAAGGAGAAATGTTTATTGATAGAAAGATGTTCTATATTAGATATTAGACATATTAAAGAATGATTGGTTTGTTTTATGTCTTACTTAAAGGTCCTTCTGAGCAGCCTTGGCTTTCAACTGTTCCATTGCTTTCTGTTTCTTTTTCGGTTTCTGTTTCAATATGTCCTCCTGTAGTTTGCGAATAAAACAAGGAATGGATGCAATTCAACAAGTCATTAAATGTACAAAGCATTAAAACAATCCAACTTTAACAGGAAGGTAAAATTCTGATTAGTCTAGTACACAACAATGTTTAATACATAAATGTAGAGTTGATTAATTCTGGCCCTACCATCTGAATGTGTCTGCAGAACTTGAGACTTCTCCGACAGCGTTTTCTCCTCAGAAACAACATTTTCCCCATCTTTTATTGAACTATTTTGCTGCGCCCGTCGGGATTTCTTACTGTAGCCCATTTTCTTCAAAGCTCTCCGTGTTGTGCGTTCAGAGATGCACTTTTGCACACCTTGTTCGCAACTTGTGGTTATTTTTGTGTCTTTTGCCTTTTTATCAGCTTGAACCTGGCTGGCCATTTTCCTCTGACCTGTTTTCCCACGGAACTGACGCTCACTGGATAACGTTATTTTCTCTTTTTCGGACCATTCTTTGAAAACCCTGGCGATGGCTGTGTGTGAAAATCCCAGTAAATCAGCAGTTTCGGAAACACTCCGACCAGCCTGTCTGGCACCGACAATCATACCACGATCAAAGTTGCTTAAATCCTCGTCGTTGGCCATTTTCTTCTGCTCACCGTTTTCGTCCGCGCGCGGCTCCTCCATTGTGCGGGTGCGCGCTCACTCTCCCAGGCCTATGTCACACTTCCTGCTTTCGGAACGCGGAGTAGAGATACAGAACTTCCGGTCAACAGTATTTCTCGATAAGGATTTAGATTATCAGCCCTAATGTCTAAACCATCCGAGGTCAATAGTATCCAGCTGCAGACCCGCAGCACACCAGTTTCAGAACCCCAGCGCCAGAACCGGAAGTAAGGGGCGGAGTTACGTTCTAACCAACACCAGCGCCAGGAACGTAGGTGAGGGGCGGAGCTTAGGTTTGAAACCTAATAACGCCACTTAACGTAATTTGGAGGGTATTTTCCTCTACGTATGTATGTTGTTATACTACATTACAGTACAATACGCATTTTAAAACATTGATTTTGTGTAATATAATTGTATATTTTTCAGTTATTCGTTTCATTGTATTATGAGTTATTTCCTGATCATGATGGTGAAAAAATAATACTTGAAACTTATGGGCATTTTAATGTATAACAGTTTAATAATTTTAGCTTATACATACGTGTAGATTTAGGAAGGTAAGACCTTTGTTTTTTTGTTTTGTTTTTATATTTTATGAGTTAACTTTGTATAATAAAGCTTTGAAAGATATAGCCTAGAACAAGACAAGCATTTGAGGTTTTCAAAATTATACACAATTTGATAACTTATGATTAATTTTGATAATTTATGTTCTATTTATTTATTTATTTATTGTGTTTACAAGAATCTTAAATTGTTTTGATATTGAAGATATGTATTTGTAAGATGATTTTGATTGTTTAATTAAAAAACGCATGGGTATTTTTTTATAAAATATACTTTATTTCACAAGAACATGTGCAGCATGCATTTTTCGTGTAAAATAATAATGTCAAAATCTAAAAAAGAGATAAATTCGGCATTGTTTTGTTAAAAATCTATACAAAATGACCAATTCAACCCAAGCTAGGCCTGTTTTATCACAACAATCTTATAAATTTAACTTACAATGTATCAAATGAGGAACTCACTCTCAGGCCCGTTTTGTCCTTACATTCTTGCTAAAATAATTATAATGCAATAATAATAATTCCGCCCCTCCCTCACTTCCGCTTCTGGCGCTGGGGTTCTGAAACTGGTGGTGCTGCGGGTCTGCAGCTGGATATATCTCTCGAGATCCGAGGTAGACTGACTACGATCTATGAGGTTGTGAAACGAAGGTTTTTGCTCCTGTTGAAGCTATAAGTTCGCATGAAATCAACCTTGTTTTAAGAAAAAAACATGTTTTATCCGCTATCTTATGAAAAAAAAAGAAACTACACTACCCAGAACCCTAAGCGTAGCAGCAACGTCTGCTGATTGGTCCAACTCGCTGTTACCATAGTAACGTTTACCTTTACTGGCGAACGGCTAGAGCTACCCGCGCTTGTTGTTGTAGTGTACCGGCGGCGGGTTGCTCTGCATCAGGACGTAGACAGCCATACTTCAGCTTTCCCGCTTTTCCACTAGAGAGTTTTCACTTACCATCCGAACCACATCGTCGTCATATGTGACTTCAGGCAGGTTGCGGAGAGATTTGGTCCAGCAGTATATCGGATTCCACTATTATAAAAAGCTAACCGAAAGAGCGTATTCCTACTAAAATACGTACTTCCGGTCATCCTCAGCTGTCGTTGGTTCGTGCGTCGTCATGTTTTGACGATCTTCGCCGAGTTTTGCCGAACTTACTTATTACTTACTTCATGTGGCAAATTTGTATTATTACCAAGGGAATCTTACAGAGTGGACTCCTTTTTAAAGAAAACGTCCTAAAATAAAAATGTATGTATCATCTTGACTAATTTTAGCTCAGAGATGAGCTAATCAGAGCTGAAACTAAATGTTTTTCCTATTTTGTTTACAAAGATCAACTTCAAAATCCATTTGGTATATTTGAGCTGTTCTGTTACGTCGACATTATAAACTACTTAACCATAATCTTGAGAATGAAAGATTTTGTTTAATATATGCGTTGCTATGTTCTTCAAACATGAACGATATTGGAAATATTCAAAGTAATAGTCATACACACCATTGTATCGGTATATTTGTTGTCGTTAAAGGAATTTAAACATTCAAATGCTATATGTAAAATTCCATTTTAAATTATGCTTTTGTGTGTGTAAAAAGTAGAGATAAGCTTTATAATGACACCACAGCTTTCAGTGTTTCATCAGGACTTGAAAATATTAAAGGAGTCTTAATTACGCAATGCTGGACCCAGTATCAGGTTTACAATCTTAATCACACTTAACATAAAGACATGAGTTACTGTGCATTTTAATAAACAAAGTTGTTTAATTTGAAGACTGGTTTAGTTAGTTCCTAAAACAGATTGAATGTCTTCACAGGCACTGAAAGTGAGTGACCACTATCCAGTAGAGGGGGAACATAAGACACAATGCATCAGCAAAATAACTAAAACTACATAACGAAAAGAAACAATAACAAAAGACGTGTGTGTTCAGGTTAATCAAAGAGGATTGAACATTTGGAGACATGAAAAGTGTGACTGGAGAACTGAATATAGATGGATATGCTTGAACAAACACTGCAGCGATTGAGTTGTCTACATGAGAATTTAAACTTGAAATGTTTGGATATTATATAACTGTGTTGTCATGAGCTTTGAATATGTTTAAAAAAATCCAAGACATTAAAATCTGAAATTTAAATGTACAGTCATCCCAAAATTTATTCCTTTTAAAGTTCTTTACATGAGAAATATAAAGCAACTAAAAAAATCATTTGACATCGCTATTGTGGACTTAAATCATAAGTTGATGGTATGAACAGCAAGCAAATATACAATGAAATATTTATTTCTTCCCAGACTTCTTGATGCCACCTCCAGCTGTGGAATGAAATCAAAGGAGAAACTTTAAAGAAATATTTTAAACATTACATTAATATACCATAAAACTGCATTTAAATACACATACAACAGGTGGCTTTATGTGTCTCTTACTTAAAGGTCCTTTTCCAGCGGCCTTGGCTTTCAATTGTTCCAATGCTTTCTGTTCCTCTTTCTGTTTCTGTTTGAAAGCCATGTCCTCCTGTAGTTAGTAAATAAACCATAGGATGAGTGTGTGCAATTCAACGGGTCAAGAAAATGTACAAAACATTATCTCAGTGTTTATGTAAAACACTTCAACTGAAACCCCACTGAACTCACATCGTCCACATCCTTCGACTGCTTCTTAGGAGCCTTGAGGGGTTTCTTTTTACCTCCTGCGTAAAGAATAAAAAAAAATAATATTGGAAACCATAATAAACTGATCAAAAATAACTCGTTTTTTTAAATATACATTGTAATAAAATAAAGGCCCGATATTCGTTCATTAAAATGCAGTTAAATGTCTCAATACAGATAAAGCAGATATCATCGTGTAACGTTACAACAAAAAAACAAAAATAAAAATCGACGTTTATAATCTATAAAGACCGGACATGATCGGAAAATTGCGTTTCTATTAGCTACTACGTCGTACAGAATCAAACTGTCATGTTTATGTGTTTAATTTTGATTAATTTTACCGTCTCTTCCAGACATGTTGCTCAGATTATTTAGCTAATGCTTTTTTCCGCGCTGTCAGGACCCCAGCTGTTACCCGGATGTAGTGCGCCCGTCTTGTGCCTGAGAGAGAAGAGAGTCTGATTCAATCAGGCGAATCGATTCTTTAGGTTGGTTCGTGTAACTGAACTGGCTTTGATTCATTTGAGTCGTAGTGTTCCCAGAAGATTAGATGGTGCGTTGTCAGTCTCACAGGTTGTGTGCGCCAAACGAACATATATATTTTTTGTTTTTAATGGCTTGATAATGCAATCGAGTGACTCACAAATGCTTTGAGAATCGGTTCAATTGAATCAGTAAAAAATGAACCTGTTCAAAAGAACACCAGCTACTGCCTGAAAGAAATGCGCTCATGCAGCAAGATGACATTTCAGGAAATTTGACAGGAGGTATTTAATGTACTTTTTACAGTCTTCTGTAAACATGAGGAAATAGCGACCCGAGCAGAAAGAATCGTTGGTGTGTTGTTTGTTTATGCCCTGAAATGAATTGAGTTAAAACTGTAAAAATTATTTGCCGAGATTAGTCTTTTCATTCATTAGTTCGACATGTATGTATGTACATATAACAGCGTCTTAGTTACATATTTTTGCGGTGTAATTAACTTTTGAATTACCAACATAGAAACTTTGTTTTAAATCTTGTGTTTATATGTTGTGTAACCGACCTTAGGACTTTATATAGAAGCTAATATACAAAATTGAAGCCCAAATCAATCAAGTTTATCAGTCATATTTTATCATTGTTAGCATGTCTATATTATGTATTTACTCCCAATAAAGTGTCATCTAGCCTAGTGCAAATGCAAAGTTCATTTTTGAGCTAGAAAACAACATTATTATTGTTTTAGGAACACTGATTGCACCTTGTGGATCATTTCATGAAGTCAATGTATTTATTCTTACAGGTATTATATTTGACGTGTGTGTAATATCTCACATATGAGGCTCTTCAATGAGGTTCAGAGGGAAAACTGTGTTTTCGAGCAAGTACGTCTCCACATGTCTCTACCGACACCAGCTGTCTGTCCCGGTCCAGTGGAACCTCCTCAGAACTTATTGCACACAGCAACAAAGCCCGAAAGATGAGCCGAATAAAATGACGTCTGTGAAAGAGCGCACAGCATCTGCGTTGACGTATGCTGGAGAGCTGGGGAAACAATGGGGCCGAAATTTGGTGAAAACCACTACAGTGACCGTCAACTACTGGTGGGAGCGCTATGAAGAGTTTGTCGGGCTTAATGAAGTCCGAGATGCTCAGTCTAATGTCACAGAGGTACACATTTGACAAATGACCCCAAAAAAGATGCACTTTTCACTCATGGATTCATTTATATGTCAATATAATGTGATTTTTTTTTATTGCTATCAGGCTGAAAAGGCCTTCATGATCGCCAGAGGAATCGTCAGAGAAGCGCACACCAGCCTGGAGGCTCTTCAGGTCCGGCTGAAGGAAGTGAGGGACCGTTTGGACCGCGTCTCTCGTGAAGAGGCACATTATTTAGAGTTAGCCACACTAGAACACAAGCTACTGCAGGTGAGGTAGACTGAGTAATGTACAGTGCTGCATTGATTCCTTTAAAAAATTGTGTTCTTCTGCTCATCAAACCTGTATTTATTTATTCAAAATTTCAGAAAAAAAACTGTAATATTGTGAAAAATTATTCCAATTTAACATAATGCTTTTCTATTTTAATATACTTTAAAATAGAGTTTATTTCTGTGATGCAAAGCTGAATTTTTAGCACCTAGATAAATCATTATTATGTGCTGATTTATTATCAATGTTTGAAACAGTTGTGCTGCTGAATATTTTTTTATAACCTCTGAAACTTTTTTCAGGATTTTTTGATGAAGAAAACATTTTTAAAAAAGGACAGCATTCATTTTAAATAGATTTATTTTGTAACTATATACAGTACTGTTCAAATGTTTGCGGTCAGTAATTAATACTTTTATTCAGCAAAGATGTGATAAATTGAAAGTTTAGTAATATTAAAAGTTTACATTGTTAGAAAAGAATAAATGCTGTTCTTTTGAACTTTTTATTTCTAAAAAAAAATCCTAAAAAAGGATCACAGGCTTCAAAATAATAGTATCAAATCATCATATTAGAGTGATTAATAAAGGATCAAGGAGTAATGAGGATGGAAATTCAGCTTTGATCACATACAAATAAAAATAAAAAATCTATTATAATAGAAAACCATTATTTTAAATTGTAACAATATTTCACAATATAACAGTTTTTTCCTGTATATTTGATCAAATACATGCAGGCTTGATGAGCATAAGAGACTTCGTTCAAAAACATTAAACATAGTAATGTTTTCAAACTTTTGACTGATACCGTATTGATTGCACTTTAACGTTATCGTTAACAGGAAGAACGGCGCTTCAGAACGGCGTACGAGAACGCAGAAGAAGGCGAGCGAGAGAAGTTTGCTCTCTTCTCGGCTGCGGTCCGAGCAAGCCACGAAAAAGAAAGGACCAGGGCCGAACGTACCAAAAACTGGTCCGTGATTGGTTCAGTGTTGGGCGCCGTCATTGGTGTGATGGGCTCCACTTATATAAACCGGGTGCGTTTGCAGGAACTCAAGAGCTTGTTGCTGGAGGCCCAGAAGGGACCGGTGAGTCTTCAGGAAGCCATTAAGGTCCAGGCCAGCATGCATAAACTGCAACAAGACGAACTCAGCAATCTCATCGACTCCCTCAGGGAGAGTGCGAAAGGAGGCGTGGAAGATTCGAAAACAGTCAAGAAAACATTCGTCCCGCCAGCGACTGCCATCGTCCCGACCCCAGCATCCAGTGCCTCAGAAGAAGCGATTCAAGAGATTCTCCAACACAGCCAACATGCCCGAGGGCTCATGGAAAGCCTGAAGCCACAGCTGGAGCAGCTGGAGGATGGCGTCGGGAAGGTCGGGACAGAGATACAAGCGGTGAAGACCACCCTGCAGTCTCGGACCTTGGAGAGGCCGGTCATTCAAACACGAGACACTCAGCTGTTTGTCTGTGACACAGAGATAGTCGTTCAAGGCCTCGGTCACACTGAGAAAAGACTGGAGGCGCACATCAACAAAACGAGTCTGTACAATACAGTCCTGACCTGTGCTGCGTTCGCCGTGACTGTGCCAGTTCTGTACATTATGTTGAGATGAACTTGACAAGTGTGCAGGCACTTACACTAAGTAAGGGGCCAATACACTATGATAATAATGTAACTAAAGAGTACAATTATTGCTCACGGATGTGAAAGATTAAATATTGTCAATACTAAGAATCAATGTTTTATGTTCATTCTTTTTTAATACTTTAGTTAATGCTACATTGGTGGTGGTTGAGGAGATGTGAAGCATAGAGTGCCCAAAGTGCTAAATAAATAATTACTTATTACAATGATATACTTCAGATTGTGCTTAATTTCCAAAAAAAAGTCCTTTAAACATAAGAAACAGTTTTTAAACTGTGAAAATCGAGTTAGTTTTATTGTAAACTAGTAAAATATGGACTTAAATGTATTAACTGTGGACTAAAATACCCAGGGCTCTTGCGTGTCTCGTCGCTGTTGATTCAATGGCTTATTTTGAAGCAAAAGTGATCGTTTCGTTTACTGTCAAATTGTGCTTTGTCTAGATTTATTTTTCTAACAATCTTAAGATGTCCGTCCCTTTTCACGCGTCAAACCAATGAGCGTTCATATCAGAGTGACGCAGTTGCCAACGAACCAATCACAGCGCTCTAACTCTCTTCCTCAATCAATATTCATAGCGTTTCTCGCGCGCTTAGTGATCACGTGGACAATTTCGCGCGAAAAGTCAGTCTACCCGGGAAAAACTAGTCTCAGTCGAGCTGCTTTTTAAGACGGACGTGAGAACATGGCGGTGAGTGTGTTTTGTATATCATCTAACGAACAAATCATTTAAGCCATAGTTTAAATGTGTTTTAAAGCATTTGACTTTTGCAAACGTGTCCGTGATCATGTGTGAAATGTGCATGGCACATACAAGTATTATGCAGTAGGTCGATAATGCAATGTAATGATCTAGATTTAACAATAAACTCAATATATACAAACTTGAACAAATGTGCGTTTACATTTCCACAAAAGTCATTTAAATTCGAGTTTTGTGTATTTATTATTCTGTAAATGTCCAAATCATTGAATTAGGCCTGTTAAAAAGCTGACCAAAATTATACAGATACAAAATAAAAAATAAAAATTATAGTTTTAACTGAAAATCTCCTAAACTGACATGTTGAATGTTTGAAGCAATTGTGTTGTAAAGGGTTAAGCCAGTGTAAAAAAAAAAAAAAAAAAGGTCCCACGTGGGTTAAACTAGATTCTTTGTGTTACTTGTGGTTTCAAGTGAATGTGTGTTTTTGTGTAGGATGATAGCAGAGCATCAGTCTTTTAAGTGTTGTGTTTAAGTTAGTCAGCCTGATCTAGTAACACTTGTGCATTTTTAACTCACTTTCAGTCTGTCATTTGACATCCAATTCTGGTTGATTTTTGTTTTATCTAACACTGACATTTTTTTTTGCTTCAAAACAGGATTCCTCCGAGTCGTTTCAGATGGCCACCAGCCCCACGCGTGGCTCCCGGCGGGGTGACCTGACCTCCAGCCCCGGCAGAGACCTGCCCCCGTTCGAGGACGAGTCAGAGGGCATTCTGGGAGAAAACATTCCCAATGAGGACGACGGAGATGGAGAGGAGCTGATCGGAGATGGGATGGAGAGGTGAGAGAGAGTTAGGGAGGAACCTCATGAAACGTCTCTAAAACATGTCCAGGTCATGCATCGTCCCAAAATAATAACATTTTACACTCATGGGCTAGCAATTAAAATCATGCTTCAAAGAATTGAAACGCTAATGCAGTGATATAAAAGTCTAAAAAGCTAAGTGACTATTTTATTAATGGATACCTTTCTATATTTGTGTGTTTTTTTTAGTTGATCATCGTTGACAGTGGTTCTGGGAGATAATTACACCGATTCGTTTTAGTGACAGACACCGGTTGAGATTAACATAATTGTAGTTCATGAAAATGTCTTCTTTTTGGAAGTTATGAGCAT